CACTGCGGTACACACTCAAAACTACTGACATACATTCATTCACATGCATAAACACACACCTACACACATATATCCTATTTTTTTTCTGGTGTGTGTCGAGTTGACGATTGGAACAAGTTGTAATGCCTGTCACGTACTTGCATAAACTTCATGCCACCTCTCTCTTTAACTTTCTCCCTTTCACTCCCAGAATGCCAATGTGAGGACAGCTCTCTTCCCATCTGTCAGGTGGTAAGTCAGCAAAAAGCTGCATCACAAGTCACTGTCTAATCAGGTTTTTGCCAGAAGGAAGAAAGAGTGGGCAAATTCAGTTAAGTCAGCACTGTGTTTTCTCTCAGGGGGAGTTGCTGGTCGAGGTTCCAGACAGCAGCACCAACTGTGGCTGTCCTCAGCATACATGCCGTATGTGTAACGCAATGATGGAAACTCACAGACACGTAGACCTGACACTAGTGTGACAATAGACATCCTGTAGACATTTCTGCCACTGATTCCTACTAATCAGATATCTAAGCTCCATCCATATTTACCATGAGAAAAACTTTTATTTGTAATTTACAGTATAATGAATGTGTGTGTGTGTGTGTGTGTGTGTGTGTGTGTGTGTGTATAGAGAAGGCAGAGGTGTGTCTTTTCCAAGGGGTAACGGTGCTGGGCCCAGGTCAGTCTCTTGTTCAGTACCTTGAAGGAGAGCTGTGTTACACTGTCCACTGCCTGCATCAGAGAGATCCAGACACTGGCTATTACGCCATGGAAATTTCCTCTGTCAACTGTTCCCAAAAATGTGGATCGGTATGTATCCAACACATTTAACACATTTTGATAAGTCATATAGTCAGTGAGAGAAGCAGAGAAGCATTTTTCCAGATTTCATCTCTTCAGTTCTAGCTTTTACACCATGCTTCATCCTTCACTTCTGCATTCTCCTCATCTTTTTAGCACCAGGTGTACGTACAATCCACAGACCCTCAGGTGTGCTGCGGCTCCTGTAAAAATGTCTCCTGTACTTTCACCAACGAAAACGGGACAGCAGAGCTTTTTGCTGTAAGAACAAACACATCCACATGTGCTCAGTGACCCCCCTTTTTTTGAACAGTACTGATTGTGCTTGTGTGTGTGCAGGCAGGGAGTTCCTGGGTGGAGAACTGTACACGTTACGACTGTATGGAAACAACAGTGGGAGCGGTGATACTCGCCTCTGGGGTGGTTTGCCCACCTTTCAATGACACAGAGTGTGTTCAGGTCAGGACCTCTAAATGGACTACTGTATATATCTGAATTTACGGTTCAGATATATACAGTACAGTAACAAACATTTATTAAGTAATTATTAAGTCTAATAATTACAGTAATATGTCATGTCCTTAGTGTTTTGTTGTTGTATGGATGCATAGATCAGGAACTTTTAAGTTTTTAGACAAAGACAATTCTAGGTTTTATCTGCCAAATAAAAACATTTGATTGATGCACTCATAATATGTATTAATATGTTAGTTTGGAAGCTTGGATTTGTTTGAATGTTTTCTCTTGTTTTCTCTTCCTGTTCTCGTTCTTGCAGAATGGTGGTGTAGTTCAGAGCTATGTGGATGGTTGCTGCAGGACATGTGAGTCTCCAAATTTATTAGGTGCTTGTGGTAATGCTTTGAGCTGTCAATCGGCGGGGTGAGCGCCTTGTTGCCTGGCAGTGGATGGGCTTATTGGCTGTATGGTTGGGGGTGTGGCCTGTTGTAGAGGGTGGAGATAAAGCCTGTTGTTGGCCTATCATTACATTTCCCACAATCCCTGGCTTTCCCAGTTTGTCCCCAAATGTTCTGTTGACATATTCAGGAGCCAGCACAGCTCAGACAGAAGTAACATTTGGTGGAAAACTCAAGTAAATAATAATAAAAATGTAATAGAATGATATACTCAACATTAAATCCATCATTACTCATTACTATGTGAATACATAACTTACTAAACTTGTGCTTTCAAGACGATGACCTGTGAACTGTGAACTGTTCTTCCTGTCTTCTTAAAAAAATATATTGAGTAAGAAGATACTCCCAAGTTGTGTGGATTTAACATGCAGTGGTGACATTTTGTCTTTTTGGGGATTTGGCATTGCAGCCTCGCCCGCTTGCCTGCTTTAGCAGTGACCTTGCAGTTTGGCCAATCAGGGTGCTCCATGGTGAGCGTTTCACCAATGAGGATGCAAGATGTTTCAGGGGTTAGAGTTTGCCCTGCTGAGCTTCTCTTTGTAGTAGATCAAATGGCTGAGTTCCTTTGCTGGCTGCCCGGAGTGACCCAAAAAAAAAAGAAGTGAAATCCATGTGCATGCCAGCTGCACTGATTCCATCCTCTGTGTGTTTGTGTGTGACGCTGAACTGTGTTTTCTGAACCAAACGTAACCTTGTGTGTGTTCTCATGACGTTCTTTGAACCGGATGGCTGCGGTCCCGACGATGCTCCCAGGTTCTGGAGTGGGTGTTTTACCATTTACCGTTAATCCCGTAACCCCCACTGGTAGTACTAACTGTGACACAGGTACCACCATCTTGCACTGTTCCCACTTACAATAATTCTTTGGCATCCTGGCACACAATAGCTTATTCACGTGCACTTTAAAGCTTTGTGTGAATGTGTGCGGTGCAAGCCTATTTTGGTGTTTGAGTGTTGTGTCTTTTCATTTTCTTCCTCTCACTGGTTAATCCCCAAAACACAACATAAACAACATCTAACCTTGCATAAATATCTAGTGCAAAATCATCCATCAGACAATATTCTGTATTAAATATTTTAGGAAATCAAAGTGTTAATGCCAGAATAAGCTGCAGTATTACACATCGATTAAAAAAAAGCTGGAGATCATCTACTCTTTTCATTACATTCCAGCCTCACACCGAATCCTTTTGACCAGCTTTGATTGGCTTAAAAGTAAGGTTAAGTTTAGGTCAGTAGCCAATAGGAGAGCCGAATCTCTGCTGTGAGGACTGTGCCCCCCATCACCCAACTGTCAATCAAAGCAAGCTCCTACTGCTAGGCAACAAAGAGCCCTGCTCAATAGGCCTTTCAGGATTGTATGAGTGGCAGGTCTCTGCGGTAAAATGATCAAATAGTGTGTTTGTGTGTGTGAGCATAATGTTTACCAGTGTATGTATGCACGTTTCTTTGTGTATGTTTGTTCTTGCATCTTCACATTTTCTGCCGTTAAAAGGTATGTTGTGTTAGTGATTTGTTTATGTGTGCACTGTGTCTGGAGTTACTTCTGAGGGTTACTCTGTGTATGCATCTTACTTCTGTGTGAACATGTGTGTAGGTAAAGAGGATGGTAAGACATGCAAACGTGTGGCCATTCGGACTACGATTAGAAAAGACGACTGCAGGAGCAATGCACCGGTGAGAGAAGAGAAACATAAAATGAGGATTCTGAGTTGGCTGAAATAAAACTATAAACATTATTTTAAAAATCTACAATTGTCTCCTCCTGTCACCATCCTGTCTCCCTCCTCTTACAGGTCACTGTCTATTCTTGTGATGGGAAATGTCCGTCTGCCACCATATTCAACTTTAACATTAACAGTCACGCCCGGTTCTGTAAGTGCTGCCGTGAGAGTGGACTACAAACCCGCTCCGTCACACTCTACTGCTCTCGCAATGCCACAGTTGTGGAGTATAACTTCCAAGAGCCTCTGGACTGTTCCTGCCAGTGGAACTAAAAACATGGTCCAGGCTGAAAAATGAATGAGAGCATAATCAATGAAGAATGTATGAATAGAGGGATACGTGAGGGGAGGAATCATATTTTTACAGTACTGATGAACAAGCATAAAAACCAGCCATGTTTCATTTTGTTTGTTACTATAGTTCAACTTTACAACACTGACCTTGAGTCATAGTTGTAACTAAAAGATATTGAAAAAAGCAAGTGCAAGTGAGAGATGGTTTTCATATAGTTTTGTGTACACATTAGTCTTTAATTTCTTGCTGTCCCCACCCAGTCAGCCTTCTAGAGCTTTCAAGTGGTAGCACAAGCCATTAGCCTCTTATCTACTGTATATTAACAATTGGTATCATGTTGACACAGCACTTGTTGCATTTTTTATATATCTGCTGTTGGGTTAAAAATGCTGTATATGCATTTTGGTTTGTCTTAGGAGATCAATTTAGCCTTTGTATAAATGAAAGTGTTGTGCGATGCTTTGTTTCCTTAGAAAAGTTTACTGAGTTTCAAAAATGTTATCTTTGCTCTCTTTGTAGTTTATTATTTTGAAGTAAAGTAGGTGAATAAAAGATTTAATAGTGTATTTGTCTGAATTATTGCAAGACTTGTGAGCTCCAGTGCGTGCTTTTCACACATCCTTCCAGTGTCTTGTTAGCAAACCTTTATTACACACACATACTCATCCTGATTCAGCACTTGTAGTGCTGACATGTGTTTGTGTTTCACCTCTGAGCGGTTATTGCTGTGTGGGAGTCACCTCTTTATAACAGAGCCCCTCAGTGGACTCAACCCTCTGTCTGTCAATCATTTTTCTCCCTTTCACATTCCTGTCATTCCACACGGGCCAGTACTTCCACCACGCCCAAGCCAAACCACTGCAGTGTTATGAACAATTTGCAGCATATGCTTATTTTAGAAGTTTAAGAAACTCATGAAAACAAAATCTTAGACCTGTCTGCTGTGACTGACTGACTGACTCCTCCAGAGGATTGAAGCTGGTGGCTTTGAGCACATCTCCATTTCCCACCGCATGTCTTATCCCTCTCCTTTTTCTCTCAGTATGCTCCACATCCCCAGCCTCCCCACCTCCCTTCTCCTCAGGCAGCCCAGCTCTGGAGTGACCATGTGCCTGTGGTTGCCATGGTAAGCTGTTCTTATCCCAACAAAGAACCAGAACAAATTGAGTTGGACTCATACATGCACAATCTCTCTCTCTCTCTCTCT